GACTTTAGGAAATCAGCAAGGATTTATGATGATGGAAGTCGTCGTTGTTTAAAGTCATCTATGTTTTATAGGAAGCTTGCAAATTCAGAAACTGTGAAAAGATCATGGATGGTATACTCTGAAAGCTCAGGAAAAGTGTACTGTTCAGCATGCAAGCTATTTTCTACCAAAGAAAATACCTTCACACAGGGGTTTCGAGGAACATGAAAACAGCACCACTCACAGGAGCTGCATTTTAGCCAGTGTATTTCGTGCACAGAAAAAAGGCTTATTGGATTCTCATTTGGAAAATCAAACTGAAAAAGAGCGCACTTATTGGAGAAAAGTTCTAGAAAGAGTTGTTGCTGTTGTAAAATTCTTAGCTCTAAGAGGACTTGCTTTCCGTGGAGAAAATGAGGTTTTTGGTTCGGAAAACAATGGCAATTTCCTAGGGATCATAGAATTGTTAGCACAATTCGATCCATTCTTAGCAAATCATGTGTCACGCCTTGGGAATGCAGGAAGAGGCACTGTATCTTACATGTCATCTACTATATGCAATGAATTTATTGAACTGATGACTAAGAAGGTCCTCAATAACATCATAGCAGCTGTGAAAACTGCAACATACTTTGCAATAAGTGTAGATTCAACACCAGATATTTCACATACAGATCAATTGACATTCATTGTTCGCTTTGTCGACTCCAGTGGTAAGCCTGTAGAGCGCTTTATAAAATTCGTTCCTCTTTCAGGCCATGATGGAGAAACAATGATGAATGTAGTACTGGATACTCTGCTTGAACATGATCTCTCTATTATGGATTGCCGTGGCCAGAGCTACGACAATGCAAGTAACATGTCGGGTAAATATAATGGATTGCAAGCCCGTATCAAGCAAATCAACCCACTTGCTGAATATGTGCCCTGCTCAGCACATTCTCTTAATCTTGTTGGGTCATGTGCTGCGGAGTGTTGTGTCGCTGCAGTTTCATTTTTTGGACTTTTACAAGCACTCTTTAATTTTTTCTCTGCTTCAACGCATCGGTGGAGTATACTCAAGTCAACCATTCATGGAGATGTCATCAAATCATTATCAACAACAAGGTGGTCAGCGCAGCATGATGCAACACATGCTTTGAAAGACAGCTTTGCTGAAATACGTTCTGCTTTGATCCAAATAGCAGAGGATGAAGACCAAACACCAACTACAAGAAGCGAAGCAGCCAGCTTAGCATCAAAATTGGAAGATTTTGAATTGGCCTTACTCTGTGTGCTTTGGGACTGTATACTGGAACGGTTAAATGCCACGAACAAGACACTTCAGAAAATTGAAATTGAAATGGCTACTTGTGCTAACGTCTATGCGGCTTAGTGGAATTTGTAAGCTCACTTTCTCTTCACTTGAAGAGAAAGCTAAACTGCTGGTGAAAGACTACAGTTACCGGGCTGATCATCAGCGGTCAAGGAAGAGGAAACGCAATTTTGAAGAGCCAGACAATGAAATTGTGTTGCTACCAAGGCAGAAATGTAAGACAGCTACATACTTCGTCATTCTGGATTCACTGATTACAGAATTGGTGAAAAGAAAAGAAATCTACCAGAATCTCAATGACAAGTTTGGATTTCTGTTCAAAATTACTATGTACCTGGAGTGGAACCACAGTCGATGGCCTCCACTCCAAACCAACAGATACAGATACTAATGCCGGAAAAAAAATCCCCCCCCAGTACCAACAATACCACCAGTCCGATGACATTCTTCTTTGCAAATATACAGGGTCTAAAGCCAGCAACAAACAACAAAATACCTTTCATCCGTGGACTGCTTGCAGAGGCAAAGGCAATGTTCGCGGCTTTCACTGAGACCCACATAAAGGATCACTTAGACAACGAAATATGGATCCCAGGTTACAACATATACAGATGTGACAGAGTGAACAGGCAAAAGGGGGGGTTGGCCTGTACATTGCAGAATCACCTGTTTGCACAGAACTGCTTAATGCCTCAAATGATGTAGTGGAAGTTTTAGCAGTAAAGGTCGAGAACCAAAACCTAGTCATTGTGGTAGTCTACAAGCCTCCGGATGCAACATCCCAGCAATTCCAGGAACAGCTGTTAAAAATTGGGACACCTAGGTCGCAAAAAATGTCCCCCTTCGATACCTACCACTGTCATAGCCACAAGTTGCTCTGGACCTATTAATTAAATGAAATATACATACACCAGGAATACTGGTAAATATATAAATTTGTGGACTGTATATTAAAAATAATAAATGGTTATATATATACACAATTACATAACAGAAGGAAAATATATCTTAATATCACTCACCAATTTGACTGGAGATTAATGTGTATCATACTCAGAAAACCTCACTCTAACTAAATCTATGAAAATAATGCTGGCCAGAATTACACACAAATCTAGAGAGCTTATTTGAGGTTCCTGGAGCTGTCTTGTCCAGTCGTCTGATATCTCAAGTTATGCAGGAATGCACATCCACCAATTTCGCCTCCTGTTTGAAAGGTGTCAACACAATTTTAACCTCTAGAGTACGAAAAATTCTTCCCATTACACCAATGTTTGTACAAAATTCAAAACCAAGATGGCAAGTCTCCTGCCCAGACGCAGGCTTTCCGTTTTCTATGACAAATATTATTAAATACAGTATAGGCCATCTACTTACCTATAAATTACCGTATTTCCGGAAAATATATACAGTATTTTCCACAAGCATTGTGGAAAATACTGTATATATTTTCCGGAAATACGGTAATTTATAGGTAAATAGATGCCCTATATTGTATTTTTAAAAGAAGTATGTTATCGAAAAAAAGAAGAGACACTCGCCATCTTGGTTTTGAATTGGATACAACGTTAGTGTAATGGGAAGGAATTTTCGTGCTCTAGAGGTTAAAATTGTGTTGACACCTCTCAAATAGGAGGCGAAATTGTTGGACATGCATTCCTGCGTAACTTGAGATATCAGATGACTGGACAAGACAGCTCCAGGAACCTCAGATAAGCTCTCTAGATTTGTGTGTAATTCTGGCCAGCATTATTTTCATAGATTTAGTTAGAGTGAGGTTTTCTGAGTATGATACACATTAATCTCCAGTCAAATTGGTGAGTGATATTAAGATATATTTTCCTTCTGTTATGTAATTGTGTATATATATATATATATAACCATTTATTATTTTTAATATACAGTCCACAAATTTATATATTTACCAGTATTCCTGGTGTATGTATATTTCATTTAATTAATAGGTCCAGAGCAACTTGTGGCTATGACAGCGGTAGGTATCGAAGGGGGACATTTTTTGCGACCTAGGTGTCCCAAATTCCTACTTGTCTATGTAACATTGATAAATAATAATTATCTTTGTTATCATTTACTGTTATGCACATAATTAGTTACATTCAGATAAATGCAATTTTCCACAAGCATGTTGTTGGAGTCATTATATGAGTCAAGAACCTTCAATGATGACATAGAATCAGTAATGATGTTAGAGTCAAGCTCAGTGTCACAGGTTAGCTTTAGCGCCATTAGGATTGCAAACAATTCAGTTTGCAGTGTAGACGCCCAGTTGTTAATTCTTATGCCTAACTCAACAAATTTATTATGGTTCTTAACTAGGGAGGTGGCAACAAGAGCAGATGCAGCCCTGCCAGAAGACTCCTGTTTAGATCCATCAGTGTATATAACTTGTGATAACTTATTACTACCGGCTAGGTGAGAAATTTCTTCTTGAGCAGTTGCTTTAACAAGAGATTTAAGGAAGGGATTACTAGCAATGAGCTTCTTGGGAGGGACTTGCAGGTATGTGATATTAAATGAACACATTTTCCATGGAGGGGTGAAATGCTCTTGTTGCCTACAGTGATACAGTTCATGCAGGTTATAAAACTTAATGCAATTGCACGTTTTCACAATCCATTTAGATCTGTATGTATTTACCTCCACACACTTGGTAAGATTCATTGTGACAGTGTCTGGTTCATTTCCTAACATTCTAATGCCTAGTACATTATTATTACAATCAAGGGGGAAGCGCTAAACCCGAAGGATTATACAGCGCCTGGGGGGGGGGATGTGGAAGGCATTCAGGCTTAATTCGGGGAACTGGAGCACAGATCCAATTCCCTAAATCAAGAGCCCCTCACCAACATCAAGGAACCTTCCTTGAGGGGAATGCCGAGTACAGCGTTAATCTCAACAGTCCTATCACTGATACTAAAAATACCAAGATCCTTCCTCATATTAAAAACCTTTATAGATTTTTGACACCAAAGAATAACTCTGAGAGCTTCATTTTAATGCATGGTTTACATATTGTAAAATATTAATTACAAGGAAGGCCTCTAGCATGCCTAAGCATATGGTATATAAAAAAAGGCATAACATTACCAGTGGTCTGTTACTTTGTCCAGTATGATAGATACACATGCGCGTACACGAGTATTACTACACTTATAGACATGAAGATAAGAGATAAGATAAGATTTCGTTTGGATTTTTTACCCCGTAGGGTTAGCCACCCAGGATAACCCAAGAAAGTCAGTGCGTCATCGAGGACTGTCTAACTTATTTCCATTGGGGTCCTTAATCTTGTCCCCCAGGATGCGACCCACACCAGTCGACTAACACCCAGGTACCTATTTGCTGCTAGGTGAACAGGACAACAGGTTTAAGGAAACGTGTTGAAATGTTTCCACCCGTCGGGAATCGAACCCGGGCCCTCTGTGTGTGACGCGGGAGGTTTAGCCACCAGGCCCTACCATCTATCTATTCAAATGCACATACACACTTATGCATATGCATATACATAAACACATACATACACACATACAATACATAAATACATACAATACATATATATGTAATACAAATATATGCATATACATGCATGTATACATCAGAGAGTTCCAGAGGGGCGAGAAGCAGGAAGAGCTGGGACATGATAAGAAACAGAGTAAATGCGTATAGAGGTACCAAGGTTCCCTACCTGAACAGGTGAGTAAGACCTGAGTACACCAGGTCATGGTGAAGAGGCTGGCATGAAGCCAGATGTAACGTGTAGCAGGTTAGGTACAACCGGTTCCGGTGACCTAATTCCATTAATTCCTCAGTCAGGGTGACCGGACGTAGCCACTGGACCTCACTGCTGCTCATCTTCACACTAGTAAGTAAGTTTATTCAGTAACAGGTACACGTAAATAGTTACATAAATTACCATACATAGCAGTATGTGTAAATTACCTAGGATAACCCAAAAATGTCAGACTGGCTGCTGCACTCGCTGTTCTCCTCACACTGTTTGCTGCACACGCTGCTCACTTCACATTCGCTGCTGCACACGCTGCTCGCCTCACGCTGTTCTTTGAGGGGAAGATATATTTATAAGATTAATTTCTAAGTATTAACAGCTAACCCACAATCTGTACAATTTGTTTTTTTTAAGACGACATTGTCTATTAGTCAAGAAATGCTTTAGCAGCGGTATTATGACTTTTATTCTTCACAGTCATAGTTACATTATGAGAACAAAAGCTAGTTATGCTCTCCTAGATTCTCCTTCCCCGCAAACACAATAATTTGAAAAATTGTGGAGGGTGGGCGAGTTTGTCTCAGATCAACATCCGTTTTCTGTCAAGTCACGATTATTATTATTATAATCAAGGGGGAAGCGCTAAACCCAGAGGATTATACAGCGCGTGGGGGGGATGGGGAAGGCATTCAGGCTTAATTTGGGAAACTGGAGCACAGATCCAATTCCCTAAATCAAGAGCCCCTCACCAACATCAAGGAACCTTCCTTGAGGGGTGTCAAGTCACGAGCGTCAGCAATACATGGGCACTTGGTGACCTTCAGTCTTCTAGTTACTAAATTTTCCCATAGTCCAGGATATATATGATATACAGACTATAAAACATTAATCTTTGCACACTCGCCCGTCTAGGAAAACAATTTTTGAAGGAGTTCATACGCTTTTAGCTCACAAATTTGTTAAAATAAGGTGTAGGAAGCACTCACCTGGACCAGAGATATGAACCTCCACTCACATACTGATTGCTGCTGGGTTGAAGACGCTGATAGTTACTAATAAATGATCGACGTCATTCAAACTATCGCCGGATCGTTTTCCTTGTAACAATAAATATTTATTCAATGTTATGTCATGTTTGCGCCGCTCTTACATTTAGAAGTTTTCCTTGCAAAATCGATGGTGACAGTAGACGGAAGAATGAGGCCGGGCGCCTAACATGAAATTTGCTTTTCTAATCATCATCTATAAATATTTTATCAAAATGCCACATATCGAAATTTACTGGCTGACAACAACATCGATTTTGCTTCTTAGAACCCTCTCAAGGATTTTTATGATATGGGATGTTAGTGCTATCGGTCTGTAGTTCTTTGCAATTGCTTTACTGCCACCTTTGTGGAGTGGGGCTATGTCTGTTGTTTTTAGTGTATGGGATGACCCCTATGTCCATGCTCCCTCTCCATAAAATGCTGAAGGCACGCGATAGGGACTTCTTGCAATTCTTGATGAACACGGAGTTCCACGAGTCTGGGCCTGGGGCAGAGTGCATGGGCATGTCATTAATTGCCTCTTCAAAGTCTTGTGGAGTTAGAATAATATCCGAGATTTTTGAGATGATCAGATTTTGGGTTTCGTTCATAAAGAATTTATTTGGATTGTCGACCCTTAGTCTGGGCATCGGCTCGCTGAACACTGAGTCATATTGGCACTTTAGTATCTCATTCATTTCTTGGCTGTCTTCTGTGTATGTGCCATCCCGCCTAAGCTAGGACTCAATATTGGATGTTGTTTTTCCCTTTGATTTGGCATAAGAGAAGAAGTATTTTATTTTCAGTTTCCTTTATGGCTTTTAGTTCTTCCTGTGATTCTTTATCTCCTATAAGATTCCTTCAGATTAAGTTCGATATTTGTAATTTCATTGAGTAGTGCCTCCCTTCATGGCGAAGAAATTAAAAGAACTAAAATTCTACTTTTCTATGATAATTCCCGTGTGTTACATATCATTAGCTTTAACTCTTTCATGAGGATAACTTTACAGACAACATATAAGCTGCTTCAAGCTTAATGTGCTCGTCTCTTTGGCTCCTCTGACTGTTATAATCAAAAAGAGGCGCTAAACCTACTAGGGTCATACAACTTTGCTTGGCTCCTCTGAAAGATTTGAATTAGATTTGGTCTGTGTATGCCCTATTTTCAGCGCTGTAATGACCCTGGTGGGTTAAGCGCTTAGTTTTGATAATAATATGTCCTAATTTACCATTTTCACTGAAGAAATTTGGAGATCGTTTCCCATGAGTTGTGAATGCCTCTTCTGATTCCCTTCTGATCTCCGGTGCATTATCAACTTATGTCGCACCCTGTACCATTCCAATCGAGCATGGGGGCACCGAAGCGACCGAACCACATCCAGTTAGTGCAGCACCACCTGTTTAACTTACAGGTGGTGTTGTACAGTGTAGCTGTAGGAGTTTTGCGCCAGCTTTCGTCGGGTGTGGACGTCTCTCTCTTGCCTGTGTATCAGTGACAAATTTCCACCGCTCTCTCTGGGACGCTTGTCCTCATCTATTTTGCCCGCCGGGCACTCTGTAGGAGGGGCACCTGTTCGTCGGCTTACTTTAGCCAGCTCCATTTTTTTTTCCGCTCTGCGGAAAATTCTTTAAAGGTCTTTGATGGGAAGCCGGTTACTGAACTCAGGTGGAAGTGTAGACGTCCCGCTCTGCTGGGGCTTGTCAAGGGAAGTCCACCGGATCTAATTGGAAACTTCAAGTTCCTATCTCTATTTACAAAAGAACTTTTGTTCCTTTTCTCTCATCGCTCAGCCTTGGGCAACAAATCTTCCTTGTACCATCGAAAAGTCGGACTCGATACGGCTTATGCTGTCATGGCCCTGATAAACCCAACAGAGAAAGAAAGTGTACCTGTATACAATATCTCTCTTAAATATTAATTTGCTGTCATTGGCAACTCTTAAATGATTCGTCGAATAGGGCAACAAAGTGAGAATTGTGTAGAGCATCAATCAGTTCACAGAAGTTGTGAGATAATCTAGTATTAGTTTACCACACGGGAATATTTTACCTATTTCTGAATCTGAATCACAAGATTTGACCTACATCTTGGTTGAAAGTATATGGTTGGTGGATTATTGTGATGTGCAAAGTATACACGCAGTTACTGCCTTCAAGCATTTTATTTTATTTTTGAAATAGGAAAGGGCTGCATTTCAGTAGACCCCGAGGATGGTTTTCTGTTGTCCTGTGTATGATGACTCAGCATAACTTGAAGTGATAAATAAGATACATGTGCAACAGTTAGGTAACTTTATTAAACCATACCACGGGTGGGGTTAGAACTTGCGATCAGAGTCTCAAAACTCCAGACCGTCGCGTTAGCCACTGGGTCAGTGGTATGGTTTGTTTGCAATCGTGTCATTACGATTTCGTGAGTCAGGTAACTTTATTCCAAAACGTTTCGCCTACACAGTAGACTTCCTCAGTCGCGTACAGAATAGACAACAGAGCAGTGGAGATGTAAAGACGATGTAATCCGTCTATCACCATTGAACACGTAGTTTTAAGGTAGTCAGTCCCTTAGCTTGGAGAAGAGTTATGCACCATAGTCTGGAACATTATTTCAGACTGGAGCAAAACTTACAACTTCCAAATTACGTCTTCAAGGGTGATGGACTGATTACATCGCCTTTACATCTCTACTTCTGCTGTCTCCTCTCTACTCGACTGAAGAAGCCTACTGTGTAGGCGAAACTTTTTGGAATAAAGTTAACTAACTGTTGCACATGTGTCCTATTTATCAACTTGTCGGTATTGTATATCATTATCATATTCATTACTTGAAATGGATGAAAATGATGAACTAGAAATCATTCGTTATTATAGCATTTTATTGAAAAGACGTTTCGTCCACAAGGGACGTCATCAATTAATAAAGTCCCTGGTGGATGAAACGTCTTCATAGTAGAATGTCATAACCCGCAATGTGTCTTATTTACATACTGTCAGTATATTCTGTCACTATTACCACAGGCTAAATAAACGTTGGGTTATGTTTCCTTACACCTTCTCTCCCTGTTCACTTAGCAGTAAATAGGTTCCTGGGTGTTAGTCAACTGTTGTGGGTCGCATCCTGGGGGATGGTAGTGTACCTTAGATTGGACTGGACTTTAAAATGAGCTGAAGGAGGTTACCAGTTCTTAAACTGTAAAAGTGGTCAGAGTAAAAGAAAAAAGCGGGTTCTGTTTCCCCACTCTGAATGTCAGTAGTTGTCGAGTGATCTTCAAAAGACACACATACAAAGTATGACTCACGAAATCGTAATGACACGATTACAAACAAACCATACCACGGGTGGGGTTTGATCCCGCGGTCAGAGAGTCTCAAAACTCCAGACCGTCGCGTTTTTTTATGCCAAGTATCTGCACATGTGTCTTACTCATGTGTCGTCATAACTGTATTAATGGTATTGTATACCATTAATACAGTGATGACGACTCTCAGATGTGTCTCCAGTTGATTCTATTGATCACACTTTGCTGTATCAAAGTCATTTTTTTTCTTTACTACGTGAATTAGAAATCAATTTGTGCTGACTGACAAAGAAAAGAAAAGTGAGGTTAACATGATTAACGATAAAAAAAATTTGTAGTAATTTTATTTGAGTGGTAACAAAGTAAAAGTTTTTGAATAATATATGTCACAGGAAGTATCCTCCAGGATATAATGGAGTCAACCATGATATGGCGAGGTAAGACATTATGGTGAAGTGAGACATACTATGAAGAGGTGAGACATATTATGGAGAGGTGAGAAATATTATGGTCACGTGAGACATTATGAGAAGGTAATATGGGATTATGGTTATATGAAACACGATGGTGAGGTCAGACATCAGGAACAAGGAGACCACACCCCGTTATTGTGAGGTCAGACACAGGGTCGTGCAGTACCGCCTCCCTCACCACCTCCATACCAGTAACCACCTCACCGAAGGGGCACTGCGACTTGCCCGCTGGCTCGCTTCTACTGCAGATGCAGAAGAGAGAGTCGTACTCGGGATGACCTCCTCCCGCCCCCTGCAACAGACCTTCCCGCTCCTCTCCCACGAAGTCACCGCCCCATTCCAGATCGTCCATCAACCCGCGAGTACACCGCGTCTCTAGCCAGGCTCCCTTCGACGTTCCAAATGGATCAGGCACCAGGTAGCTTCCCCCGACTATATACTCTCCAGGTCTTCCTCTGTTGCCCACGTACTCGAACTTCGAGCCTAGGAAGGAGGGGCCGAGGGTGGCCAGACAGAGAGCCTTGAAGTGCTGGGCTCGACGTAAACGAGGCCACAGGCGGATTACCAGTCTGCCCAGGTAGTGCTGGCTAGCACTTACCTCCAGGTAAACAAGAGGACTCGCCGCTTCCACGAAACTCTCCAACATAGACAGCTGCAAAAGTTAAATTCCGGTTAAGAAAAATGAAATGTAAAAAGTGTAATTAATTTAAAAATCTATTGAAGTTATATTTGCTTTAATGTTTTTAACCTCAATCAGAAGAGATATGCTATAAAATACCGAGACGATGAAACTAAACACTATTCCTTGATCTACCTTGCCATTCCTTAGATCAAACCTGATTACCTTCCACTCTATAATACTCTATATTACTTAATATTACTCTATGTATTACTCTATATTACTCAATATGATCCCCTTTTCCCCAGAGCTGCAACATCCTCACCGCCCTTTCAGAGTGCAGGCACTGTATCTTCCACCTCCAGGACTCAAGTCCAGCTAACCCGGTTACCCTGAATCCCTTCATAAATGTGACCATAAGCGCCCTTCGCTTATGTGGGGGAGAAGGAATGGAATATACGAAAAAAACAGACAATGTATTCTTACCTGCACGCTGAGGTGAGACTGAGTGAGACAATGCGAGAGCGGAGACACTAAGAGATAATTGTCTTCACGTCTTATGTCTGCTTGCCTCCCGTCTGCGCTCACTGCGCGGCATATCAGAGGCCACAGCAGCAGCAGGCCCGCAGCGCTGCTTCCTACAGCACCTGGAGCACTGCTAGTTGCAACTTCACCTGCAGCAGCAGCAGCAACAGCAGCATTTACTGATGTATGTGTAGAAACAGAACTTGTAGTCTGACGGTTTCCAGTGATGTCATCTTTTGCAGTGCCACCTGCAGCTACGGAGTCGCTCCCTATCGTGTTGCTTTGAACGTGGCCTCTTACAGTGCCACTACCAGCCTTACTTGCAGTGCCACTATCAGCCTTACTTGCAGTGTCACTGCCAGTCTTACTTGCAGTGCCACTAACAGCCTTACTTGCAGTGCCACTATCAGCCTTACTTGCAGTGCCACTAGCAGCCTTACTTGCAGTGCCACTACCAGCTTTACTTGCACTGCCACTACCAGCTTTACTTGTAGTGCCACTACCAACCTTACTTGGAGTGCCACTACCAGCCTTACTTGCAGTGCCACTACCAACCTTACTTACAGTGCAACTATCAGCCTTACTTGCAGTGCCACTATCAGCCTTACTTTCAGTATCACTACCAGCCTTACTTGCAGTGCCACTACCAGCCTTACTTGCAGTGCCACTACCAGCCTTTCTTGCAGTGCCACTACCAGCCTTACTTGCAGTGCCACGACCAACCTTACTCATAGTGCCACTATCAGCCTTACTCATAGTGCCACTAACAGTCTTACTTTCAGTATCACTACCAACCTTACTTACAGTGTCACTACGTATACCAGTTTTATTTACAGTACCATCACTTGCACCACCTGCACCGTCGCCACGCATAGTACCACCACCTACATCATCTCCACTAACAATATCACCATTTACACTGCCTTCACGTGCAGTACCACCCCCTCCACTTACAGTGCCAGCCTCACATACATTGTCACAACCACCTCCACTTAAAGTGCCACCTTCTACATTACCCGCACTTACGCCGCTGCCACTTCCACTGACAGTGTCACCTACACTACCTTCACTTACAGTGCCACCATCTACAGTACGTCTCCTTACATCGTCACTACCTACACCTCCCCCATCACTCACATTGCTTTTACTTACAGTACCACCACTCACACTGCCTGCACTTGCAGTGCCTCCACCTATCGTTTCACTCGCATCATCCTGACTGCCTTTAAATACAGGCTGTGTATCGCCCTTACCGGCCTCACCACTATTATCTACAGCTTCAGCACCTTCGTCAGCACCCTCTGCGTCATCCCCTGCGTCACCCAGCTCATCTCCTAGGGGACGACACTGGGAGATCCACCCAGGACAGAGACTACGCAGTCTGGTTTCCGATAACAGGACAGCATCGACGTCTGTCAGGTTCTTGGCCTCTGAGGAGACTTCGAAGAGTTCTGCGTCAAGATCGAAGAGGTTCTTGCTCTCCTGGCACAGCCAGACGAGGTTGACAACGCAGCGGTGCAGGCAGGCCACTGTCCTGCTGCTGCTCACCTTCAGTGCTGCCTGCAGGTGCTGCACGCGGGTCTGGATGGCTTGCTTCCTCTCCAGGATGAAATCGACCGCGTGAAGGACGCGGTGTCCCTGCTGCAGGTGCTGGTGCAGAAGACAGCTGCCGCACACCAGCACAGCGCACTGGCGACACCAGTAGCACAGCTGTTCCCCGTGGATGCTGCACACGCCGTGCTGCTCAACCTGCAGAGAGCAAAGTGGAAATTCAGTGCAGATTCCGTTTTTACAGGTTGATTTTCCAGGTGCTCAATGGCCCTTATGCGCTTCCCAGTGAACATGACACAACTCTTACAAAGCTCCTCTAGACAATGTGATTTTTTGTAAATGCGACTGAATAAAGTGCTTCGAAAATTGAATAACACCTACTATGAAAGCCTTTCCATGCAATTTTGGATGTATTTTTTCAATCGCATTTACAAAAAAAATTGCACTATACTGCTCTAGACTGCGAGGAAATATTTATCTCCACCACCAAACATTATGTTTGTTAGAGAACGTCAAATAATGCTTCAAGAACACAAATAACAGTAAGCAACTTTGATAAGGCCGTTAACAGAAATCAAGTCTTAAATACACAAGAGAAATATTTTTCATATAAATGTTAACAGATCTAAGTCTTCAACGCACATTAACAACAGTAACAAACATCGTAGATGTTTTTGTTAACAGAAGTAAACATCTACAAGTGCAACACGTGAGAGAGAATACCTGGAGGTCAGTGGTCTGTTGTGAGAGGTCGAGGACCGCGTAGTTGACGGGGAGGTGTTGTGTGAGGAGGGTGGGGTGGGTGCTCCTGCAGGAGGGGCAGCAGAGAGATCTGGCAGCCTCCACACTGGACAGACACACACGGCAGAAGGTGTGACCGCAGGGAAGCACCAGGGGTTCCCGCACCTTCGTTTCGTACACCTCGGAGCAAACTCCGCACCTCACCGCCAGGTCCACGCCCGTTGACCACCGCTGCCAGTGGAAGAAAGAAGTCAGACATACAACTGAGTTTCATACAACTTTAAACAATAAGTGATAAATGCCTTGGGGCCTTTATAACTATGTCTAACTCTGGCTTCAATAATTGTTGCCTTATTTAAAGCAGGTGTTTTGATAATAATGTATGCCGCAAGTGGTGACGAAAATAGCGTTAGTGTTGCTGTTTCTTCCAGGTACTTGTGTTGCAGGTCTCTGGCTGATGGTTCAAGTGTCCTTGTGTTGCAGGTCTCTGGTTGATGGTTGTTCAATCCCAGCCTTCGTAAGGACTCTTCCAGTCACTCTAGTGTTGTAACTGGAAGGACACACATTACAAAACAACCTTTATTGAGACGTGGCCGCTCTGTGCAGCGCTTTATCAAGTCAACAGTATTGACAGTAGTCTTCCTCCTCCTCCTCTTCTTCTTCGGGCTACGTGCAGTTTGTTTCGAGATTTCGTCTCCTCTAGTCTATATTCACTCAATGTCTTAGAGACCATTGTGTTGTCATTCAGGTTGTACAGATCACATGAAATCTCAATAATTCTGATGTAGTGTTTGGTGTTGTACAGGTGACAGACCCTTAATAGTCCTAGTGAAGTACTGGTTCTGTACAGGTACAATTCAGCCTTAACCTTCAGCGTATTGTGAATGAACTATGCCAGTGAATTTAGTTGATTTGCAAACTTAAAAAAAAAAAAACAGAAAACTTCCATAACTTGCTAGAGTGAGGGAGAGACATGATAAGAAGTGAAGACTTAACCTTGATGAACAACAGGCCTTCATTATCACCATAAGACCAAGACTCTCCGACCTGTATTTACTAAGCAGTTATTAAAAGTGCGGCTTTAATTTGGTGCTAGGGGGACTCTTGATCCTAGTCAATAAAGCAACCCTTCCTTTCCTCGGATAAAGCGCTGTATGACCCTTACTGGTACCGCACTACCAGACGATGATGATATAATAATAATAAGAAGAAGAAGGAGAAAAGAATATGATAATAACAAAAAGATATTAATCCAGACGTTACTGGTTCGGTACATATTGTACATAGTTGATCCAGCAGGCTGTGATGGGTGTGTGAGGCAGCGGGCAGCCTAGCACCAACGAGGCTAATTTCCACCCGCCTCATGTGTAAGGCAACTGAGGCTGACTAAGCAGTTGAATTGTTTGTTCTTCAACTTGTTTTAATGTTCTTTATCCTGTCGTAATCTTCTTTATCTTACTATATCTTTCATTATCTTCTTATATTCTTTTTCTTATCCTGTCATGTGTTCCTATATCCTACAACCTTCTTATATATTTCCTCATTACACAGTGATTCAAATCATTCAACACAAGGAGTGGTGGAGCCTCCACCACTCCTTGTGTTGAATGACTTGCACGGGTTTAGCGCTTCGCATTAATATCACAACGTCACCTGTATTTAATTCTCAGTACAGCCAAAACTAACAATAAATTTGTTCTTCTCGATATTTTCTTTAGTCATTTACAGTTTTTTTTATTTTTGTGTTATTTCCTATGAGGTATTCCCAGAAAGGGGATACCAATTGTACAGTGGTTGTTGGGTGTTCCCAGAAAGGGGATACCTACTGGGTTGTTGGGTATTCCCAGAAAGGGTATACCTACTGTATAGTGGTTGTTGGGTATTCCCAGAAAGGGGATACCTATTGTATTGTGGTTATCGAACTTTTTTTTTTTTCCTTCTGGCTAGGTTTCCGTGCAGTAACCTGAGAAGGCTTCGTCTCATCAGCTTCCAGCTGCCGCCGCTGACGCATCGTACTCAGACGAAGGTTCGAACTCTTACTGGGCTCTATGCATATTAGTCATTATTTTGGCCACTAGTATATTATTTCTATACACTATTTAATTTACAGATTAATATTTGTTAGCTTACCTCAATTCATTTCAAAACCCAGTCTTCCGTGTGGTACATAACCACCTCTTCCCCACCCAGGATGAGACCCCTTAAGTCAGTACCTATTTACTGCTAGATAAACAAGGACGACAGATGTAAGTACATAGCCTCGTGTCCCTACCGCCCTAATACTGAACTCCCTGTATTCGATGGTGAACCGAAGGCACTAGCACTAAGCTATGGATGACTTAAATTTACGGGATATCCGAGTTTAGAAATGTCTTAAATAGGACAGACTAGGCTGCTTAAAAAGCTCGTCATAATACTACTGGAATACCATTAAATCTGCATTGTAAAACCACTTTCAGACCAACAGAACACCATTTATACACTTCAAACTTGTACTAACTAATCAAGCTTAATGTTTAAGTCACAACTCAAAAACTGGAAAAGTAAATTGAGTAAGTTTGGCTCCGTCTCGAAGTGTTGTACTCGGCAGTGAGCTCAATGTGTTTCAGGACTTGTTGAACTGTTAAGATAAAATTTCGTTCGGATTTTTAACCACCCAAGATAACCCAAGTCAGTGCGTCATCGAGGACTATCTAACTTATTTCCAAGATGCGACCCACACCAGTCGACTAACACCCAGGTACCTATTTGCTGCTAGGCGAACAGGCTTAAGGAAACGTGTCGAAATGTTTCCACCCGTTGGGAATCGAACCCGGACCCTCCGTGCGTGAAGCGGGAGCTTTAGCCACCAGGCCACCACTGTTCCAGCTATTGTATTGTAATTCAGTCTTGTAAGTTGGACGCGGTGATCACGGAACCAGGTTATATCACTGCCATGCGTTGGCGTCACTGTAAATCAGTCACTGTGTCAGTGTCAACTAGTCATCGTGACAGTGTAAGCAAGTCATCTTCTGTTTACTTTTGCTTTATTTTACTCTCCACTTGTGCTTCTTTCATATCTTCTGGTTCAGCACTATCTTATCCTGACTTTGGCCTCAGTTTCAGCACTCGCTTCCTCATTAAAAAATCATAGCAGATGAGATAAACAATAGTTGTAGCTTGTGCACTGGGCAGCGGGCGTGGTGCTCAGACTGTTGCACTCGTCACTGTGCCAACCATGGCTGTGGCATGTACCCAGCTCCCTCACCTGTGTCATAATTCAGCAGGCACGGTGTCCAACCCCCTCCCTCGTCACTCTTGACCTGTGTTGAAATTTGTTGTTAGCCGCGAACATCACCCACGGGTACATCCAGCGGTTCCTGAACCCTGGAACTGCTGTTGTCTGGCGGTGGTGACCGTACCAATACTACTAGTCCACCAACCTCCGTGCTCTCCACCACAACACTACGCCACTAGTCTCAGTGATCTCCACCACAACACTAGACCTCAGCTCTTCCTCCAGTACTCTTCCACCTCCCTACTATCATAATCACTTTCGAATTCGCTCCCCAAGATTACGCACTGACGGGGACCCGCATGCCCTGCGCGAGATCTTCAACTTAATAAGTTAATGATTGCCTTTTTCTGTACGTCCCCCCCTGCCCGTGTTTTTCTCAAACTATAACATCTGTCAATGGGGGGTCGTAAATCATGGTGTGTGGCAACTAAGGGGACCATTGATTATCTTGTCGCTGGCGCCGAGGCCTGACTCACGATGAGGCCGTCCCATCACGCTACTGCTGACATGCATGACACGCCCCATGCATGACACGCCCCATGCATGACACGCCCCATGCATGACACGCCCCATGCATGGCATGCTCCATGCATGCCAAGCCCTTTTAGATAGCCCCCTTTGAAGGGCCAGTGTGTTATCTAGTATTGTCCTGGCTTTAGCTATGACCAGGACAATCCTAGAGCAGGTGTGATTGGTTCTTTAGCTAGTGTTCGAAAACTGATATATCAATATATAACAAGAAATATATGTGAAATAAATGATCACCCCACAGAAAACATTATATTCAGGAGTAATGCGTAAAAAAACAGGTTAGTGCACATCTCACAGATCAAGACATACACTTCAGTCTTACTTGTGTCACTGTTGTTCAGAAGCTCTGGCAGGCGTGTTCTGGGGACGGGACGCAGGGGCGATGACTCCCCAAAAATCGCCTACAGGTAACAGCAAACTTATGACATGCATGCAACACTGCTTGCTATCTCTCTCTCTCTCTCTCTCTCTCTCTCTCTCTCTCTCTCTCTCCTCATGGTTGCCACGGTCAAATTAAATCATAGAGAAGGAGCTATATAATCCAGCCATTAGTATGTCAGTATGCTGAGGTCAGTGGTCACGGGAGGTTATTCTGTCCCAAGTTGTGTGGGGGATTTGTGTGGAGAGTTATAGAGCACCTGGCTTGCTCCTGTAGTGTTTTAGAATCTCAGGTTAAAGTGTTGAAGAAGGAGGTTCTACTTCTCGAAGAGAAAATAGGTTGAAAATTCGCCTAGATGGATTTGGGAGGGAGTGTAAGATGGGTGGAGGAAAAAGTTACCAGCAGTGAGTTGGAGAGTGGCAGCTGCTTCAAGTGGAAAGTGATTCCCACTTCAGGTAGAAGCATCAAGATAGGGAAGGTTAATAGAGAAAATCTGAAGGTAGGAAATCGATTCTGTTCTCTGGGACGAGTGTACTTCAGTGGTTAGTGAGGTTAAAGGTACCACTAACTCCCCTGCTGATCAAGGTAAAAACATTCTTATTGTGGGTGACTCACAGGTAAGATATATGGACTGTGCTTTCTGTATTTAATAGAGATAGGAAGGTGAGGCAGAAGGTATGTTTCCCAGAAGCTGGTGTTGATGACATGGTCAACAGGTTAGATAATATCATGTCAGGTAATGAGAACAAGCCCATTATCTGTCTCAGTGCTGGTGGAAATGCTATCGGGAAGGGTAGGAGAGAGAAGCTGCTAGATAAGTACAGACCAGCTATAGATTTAATTAGGAATAAGGGAGGGATCCCAATCATATGTAGCATCTTGCCTAGAAGGGGAGTGGGCAATGAATAGATGTCTAGGGCACTTGATATAAATTGCTGGCTAGACAGGTACTGCAGGGAACTTGCAATTTCATTCATTGGTAACTGGGACAATTTCTATGGCAAACATGATATGTATGCAAGGGATGGGGTATATCTCTCTCAGGCAGGGTTGGTAGCATTAGCCAGCTCGATCGAGGGGGCCATTTCTGACTTGTCCAGAACTTTAAACTGATAGAAAATAGAGGTAAGAGCGTGTGTGGGAAATAGTCAGGTTGCAGCACTAAGGTTGAAAACAGCAAATATTACCAGGATACCTCAGGGAAATGTGTAAAAAATATTCATAATAAAGTTGCTAGTAAAGACAGCAACTGGTCAACAAACAAGAGAGACAGAAGAGGACAGCGAGTGACTAATTCCTTAAAGGTTTATTATATTAATAGTAGGAATGTAAGAAATAAGATAAATGAGCTAAGATTAATTGCATGAGCAGGTAGCATGGATATCATTGCTGCAACGGAGACCTGGTTCAACCTGAAAGATAGAGAAATGCCTTCTGAATGCCACAAACTGTTCCACACTGATAGGATCAACAGGAAGGGTGGTGGAGTCGCGATGTATGTCAGAGATAATTTGAATTTTTGCGTTAGGCAAGATATAAAATTAGAAGCGTCGGACTCAGAATCTGGCTACAGTTTCTTGAGGGTCGTAAAAATTAATTTCGGGTGTGATTTACAGGCCCCCAAACCTTGATAGGGAGCGCAGTAAGCTTCTATGTGACGAAATTCATAAGGCGTCTAGATATGAAAGTGTTGTGTTAATGGGAGATTTTAAATTTAGTCAAATTGATTGGAGCAGTGTGACAGGAAATCTGGAGTCGAACGATTTTCTTGATACGATTCAGGATTGCTTTTTAAAACAGTTTGTGACAGAAACAACTAGAGGAAATAGCCTGCTTGACTTGGTTCTTGCCCACAAGCCCCTCAAGGGAAGTTCCTTGATGCTGGTGAGGGGCCCTTGATCTAGGGAATTGGATCTGTGCTCCAGTTCCCTAAATTAGGCCTGAATACCTTTCATCTCCCCCCCCTCCTCCACAGGTGCTGTATAACCCCTACGGGTTCAGCGCTCCCCCATGATTATAATCTTGCCAACAAGGAATCAATTAATAATCTTGAGGTTAATGAGCTTCGAGAAAGCAATCACAGATCACTCACTTTCAATATATCATGGAATTACCCTAATAACAACAATCAAGTCTCTGTCCCTGACTTCCGTTTGGCTGATTTCGCAAGACTGCAAAATTACCTGGGTGGGTTGAACTGGAATGACTTGACTATAGGCCAGGTGGGTGGTGATGGTTGCCAATATGAAGAGTGTATTAATGTTGGTAGAATTACCAACAATATGTTAAGTAAAAGGACACAAATGCAACTAATCTGACATTTTATTGTGCCAAAAAAAAAGTCACGTTAGTGGCACTTTTGTCATTTTACTAACAATATGACGATTTTCAGAGCATAGTTCTAACTGCACAGACAGCTTATGTTCTATATAGAGAAATTAGATAAAGCAAAAATGATCCAAAATGGATAAACAATAGATTAAAATACCTCACTGGTCAAAAGAGAGGCATTTACAGGCGAATCAAAAGAGGAGAGGGTCACTTAAGTAATTAATATATTCAATTAAAGCATGAAATAAAAAAAATGGATTAAGAAAAGCAAAAAGAGATTTTGAGGTTAAAGTCGCAAAGGATTCCAAGAGCAACCCAAAGAGTTTCTTTCAGGTATACAGAAGTAACATTAAGGAAAAGATAGGCCCACTCAAAAGTCACTCATGTCAGCTCACCGACAGTGATAAGAAAATGTGTAGAATTTTTAACACTTATTTCCTCTCAGTTTTTACGCAGGAAGATACTAATGAAATTCCAGAAATAATAAACTATGTTGAACTCAACGATGATAAGTTATGCACGATCCAAATTGCTAGTGACATGGTTTTCAGACAAATAGATAAATTAAAACCTAACAAATCCCCGGGGCCTGATGAATTGCTTTAAAGGAATGTAAGAGTTTTAAAGGAATATAAGGTGGAACTTAGTGAACCTTTGGCTAGTCTTGTCAACATACCTCTACAAGCTGGCATAGTACCAGATAAGTGGAAAATGGCAAATGTGATACTTATCTACAAAGCAGGTGACAGGTCTTTAGCTTCGAACTTCAGACCAATAAGTCTAACCTCCACAGTGGGAAAATTGATGGAATCTATAATTGCCAAGGCTAGTCGTAGCCACCTCGAAAGACATAAATTGGTTAATGAATCTCAGTACGGTTTTACAAAGGGGTGTTCCTACCTTACGAACTTACTTTTTCATTAAGGTATTTGAAGAGGTAGATCATGGTAATGAATATAATTTTGTGTATATGGACTTCAGTAAGGCTTTTGACAGAGTCCCACATCTGAGACTATTGAGGAAAGTCGAGGCACACGGTGAAAAGGAGAATTTTTTTTCCAGGATAGAGGCGTGGCTGACAGATAGGCAACAGAGAGTTGCATAAACGGGGAGAAATCAGAGTGGGGAAGTGTCACAAGCGGTGTTCCACAGGGGACAGCATTGTGGTATAAATAGCGACATAAAGTTTGCCGATGACACCAAAATAGGCCGTCGAATTCATTCCTGACTAGGACACCAGAGTGCTCCAGGAAGATCTGAATAGACTTGCAGTGGTCGGTGAAGTGGCAGATGCAGTTTAACATAGACAAATGCAAAGTTCTAAGCGTTTGAAAAATAAATAGCCATGATACTTATAAACTAAATACTGTAGATCTTAATATCACTGATTGCGGAAAAGATTTGGGAATTCTGGATTCCGAGCGTCCTGAATCTGCACTCTCTAGAAAGAAATAGAATAGAGAGGAAAATGATTGAGGTGTATAAATGGAAAACGGGAATAGATAAAGGGAATGCAAATAATATGCTAAAAATATCTAACCAAAACAGGACTCGCAGCAATAGTTTCAAGTTGGAAAAATTTAAATTCAGAAAAGATATTGGAAAGCTCTGGTTAGGTAATGGAGTTGTGGATGAGTGGAACAAACTCCCGAGTAGCGTCGTTAAAGCTAAAACGTTGTGTAGTTTTAAAAATAGGTTAGATAAATACATGAGGGCGTGTGGGTGGGTGTGACTTGGACCTGCCTCGCATGGGCCAGTAGGCCTGCTGCAGTGCTCCTTTCTTATGTTCTTATAACATTCAAGAAAAGCAACTACATGTAACTGTGAGTCAGTCTCACTAACTGTGAACCAGTCTCACTAACTGTGATCCAGTCTCACTAACTGTGAACCAGTCTCACTCTGTGAACCAATCTCACTAACTGTGAACCAGTCTCTAACTGTGAACCAGTTTCACTAACTGTGAGCCAGTCTCACTAACTGTGAACCAGTCTCACTAACTGTGAACCAATCTCACTAACTGTGAACCAGTCTCACTAACTGTGAACCAGTCTCACTAACCGTGAACCAATCTCACTAACTGTGAACCAGTCTCACTAACTGTGAACCAGTCTCTCTAACTGTGAACCAGTCTCACTAACCGTGAACCAATCTCACTAACTGTGAACCAGTCTCACTATCTGTGAACCAGTCTCTCTAACTGTGAACCAGTCTCACTAACTGTGAACCAGTCCCTCTAACTGTGAACCATTCTCAGTAACTGGGAACTAGTCTCACGTATTTCTGGCGCTTCCTCATAATGGGACATCTCTGGTAATGAGTCCCCCTTCTCATTCCTCCCTAATTCTACACAGTGTTGCCCATCGGTCAACACAGTGTGTACGTCTCAAACAGGGAGAGACTTTCTTCTTGGTCTCTTGTGAGAGACTGAGTCAATGGTTTTATGTGAAATCCAAATAGACAAAGCCATATTCTTCATCACGGTCTATTGTTTTCAGTACTTTAGTAGAGAAGATTTGTAAATTCGTAATTTAAAAACTCTCCTTCTTATTAAAACTGTTGAGATTTATATGATGATATGTCCTTCAAAATGACTTCGAATTGCAACTGCATTTAATGATAGCAATAAAGTGCAGAATAAAGACATAAACATCACTTGGGACACTTTA